CTCTCTCGATTCACAGATCAAAACATGAAACAGAAAATGACACCGGTGTGGCCTTAAACATGATATTTTTGATATTGGCTAGGTTTCCCTTCTGTTTCTGATTTACGCCGCCCCCACGTTATCATATAGGTTTGTTTAAAATACACCTACAGAATGTCAGCCAGCGACCCAAATTCATCCTGCACTCTGATAAACACATGTTACATAATAAACAATCGACATATATCATCTCCGTATGTGTGTCGTACAATACAATCGTTGTCAAAACACATGGTAGGTCTAACAAAACTTTCCAGGAATTTTGTGATTGTATTACATTTTAATCAAGAAACTTTAATATTAACACTAGCTCAGTTATATATATATATATATATATAAATGTGTAAGGATCGACCAATGGAATGCACTAGCTGTATCATCAGGTTACCAGTGTGAATAGCTGTAGATGACTACAAAAGATAATGTCAAAACTTGATGTGTGCTCAGAAGGAATTGGGGTATTTCTTCAGATTTTTAGTTGTAATTGCAGAATTATAATATTGAAGTAAGTTTAAGTTAAAAATCACATTTTCAAAATGGCCGATCACTGTGGCAGCCATTTTTGATTTATGTCTTACCCAAAAGCTAAGAGCACTCGGTCAGGAACATGGATATTCCTATGAAGCGATCATTAAAATCTCTTCAGCAAATGTGAAGTTTAAGGTACAAAGTCTTAGTGATGTTTTGTAACTCCAACAAAGAAAAGTTCCAATTTGTTAAGTATTTTTTATTCTTGGGAGTTGCTTGCCCATTTTCTATAGCATTGCATGTTAAAATATATAGATCTATTATAATTTCATTATTCACAAAAATATCTTTGTCGCAATTGGGATTTGATTCCAGTACATCTTGATTGTAAGGAGAGAGCATATTTGAAGGTCAAATATAAAGTATTCATGGTCAGTGCACAATGAAAGAAGACCGAACGCAGTAGGTCACCTGAACCAATGGTTAATAAAAGAGTTCATATATAATCATTTAAAGTGCATTTCTTAAAACGTACGGTCACAATCTTAATTAGAATCTAATTACATTTTATTTACAAAAAATACATTAGTTCTTTATTTCTTGGCCTTTATCTGTATGCATTTTCAGAACCTTATAGATGTTATGCATATAAAGCTTGTAATAAAAGGATCCCTGTCCCACAGCACTGTTTTTTTGTATTTAGAGTAACCTCCTTAATTTTATTTTGGATACAGTTGTAGCCAAGTTGGGTCAGGACACATCGTGTCCCAGGTGTATGAAATGAAATATACAACATTTGATATAGCGCCCTATCTAGCTAACATAAGCCACTCTAAAGCGCTTTACAGTACATATATATACAATTTTATACAGTCAATACAATTAGCACATATATTAATCAATACAATATTGAGGAATTCGCAGGAGCTGCCTCATCAGGCGTTCACTACTAGTCCTATGCCACCTGGCTAATATCTCCATATGTGTGTATGCCTGTGTGTGTGCCGGGGATGCATGTAGCTGATCAGTTGGTTAGAACGATAGTATAACAATCTGATGTTCAGTGATCAAAACCTGGTATAATAGCCCTGCTGCATTTTTGTAAAAAAATTACACTCAGAATACAGTTGTTGATTATATATTTTGTTTAATTCATTTTTTATTATTTTTTATCAAGTCCCGAAATATATTGTTTTGTTTTCAGAAATGATTTATCAAAGCTTTAGTCATTTCGATAAAAAATACAATTTCTAAATCATAGTTAATAGTTTTTGACAAAGGTACGAGGATCCTTAAGGAATGCACAATAAATGCAGTCACTTCATACAAGTTGAAAACACAAGACCTATTTTAATACATGAAAAAGATATATGTCTTCATTATAGATTGCATTTTAATTCAGCGTGGATTCTTGAAATTATAATTGAGAGTTTGTTACAAAATTTAAGTTTATATGTTATTAACTCATTCACCCCTGAAGACACATTTGAACTTCTCCAATTCAAAGGTTGGAATAGCTAGTACCTTATGAAATTCCAGGGGTGTATGGGTCAAGTTTCCTTTAGCACTGGGATTTATCTTTTTAATGTTGTTACAAAAGGAGAAAACATTAAATTTGTCTTCTCCCCGCCCCCCCC